AAGAAAGAGAAAGTTTAAAATTTCAAGAAAGGAAAAAAAGAGAAAAGAGAAAAAAAATAAAAAGTAACTTCCAATTTTAGAGATCTTATAATTACCATTGTAAATTTACTTCTTACTCTGTGGTTACAACATAGCTTTCTTCTATTATCTATTCTGTCTAATCGTCAAAATTGTACATTCCTTTTTTTTTTCTGTTTCACTCAAAAAGTCCTTGAGGACTTTCCTGTCAGCAATAAACATATACAAATAGTCCTCCATCTGAAGGGTCCTTGGTGCTCTCTGAGCTTGCTTGTTTCCTTGCAGACGTTTCATTACCCTAACTAGTCACTAGCACTGATGATGCTACCTAGTCTGGTTATGAAACGTCCACAAGAAAACAAGCAAGCTCAGAGCGAGGACCCCTCATTTAAACCCTGAGCTACAAATAGTCTCCTTTATTAGTCCTCAGCCTACAACTAGTAGCTTAGTGACCATTCAAAGTTACAATAGACCTCCTCAGAATGTATTTACGACTTGGTTCCAAAATTCTGACAACTGCCCCCCCCCGCGCTAATCATGTGACCACATTTTGGCCACTCAGCAACATGGCCATTTGCAGTGTCCTGAGGTCACATGACTGTGATTTACGACATCTTTGCTCCAAACCCGGCTTTTACTTCCATGGTGAACAATGAGTTTCCCTTAATGGCTGGCTGGATTCACCTAAGGACCACGACCAAAAAAAAGGGTTTGTAAAATCAGGTCGGTCAGCAAGGTGACTCGTTTTACGACAGACACAGCTTTTAGCCGTAATAAGCAGGCTTTCTTATGGTCGTTACTGCCTGTGTGGTCTCTCAAATTCTTTTACTAAGTGGCATTTTCTTCGATTCTTGCCTTCTGTTACTAATTAATTGGTAATTCCAAAGGTTTGATCTTTCTCATGGGCCATTTTCAAGTTTGGTTTCATGATGAGTTTTTCTGCAATTAAGAATGAGGGGCGGGGTCCAAAAACAGAAAACAAAGATGGCCATGTTTAGAAGGAGTGCAAAGCCCCTTGGGTAGAGAGCAGAGGTGGGTATTCAGCAGGTTCTGACCAGTCCTGGAGAGCCGGTTGCGGAAATTTTGAGTAGTTCAGAGAATCGGTAAATCCCGCCTCTGATTGGCCCCGCCCCCATCTCTTCTCTGCCTCCCATTGAGTCCCAGCTGATTGGCTGGGTCTTCTTTGGTTGCCCTGCACAGGACAAAGGAGCTGGAAAGCAGGTTAGTGAGGTGGGGAGGGAGTGGGGATTTTGCAGTAACCTTCCCGCAGGAGTGGGGAGGGAATGGAGATTTTACAATATCCTTCCCCTGCCACGCCCGTAAAGCCACACCATGTCCACAAAGCCACGGCCACAGAACCAGTAGTAAAAAAAATTGAATCCCACCACTGGTAGAGAGGTATGGATGGATGGATGGATTCATTCATTCATTCATTCATTCACACACTCATTCATTCATTCATTCATTCATTCATTCATTCATTGCATTTGTTTGCCAACCCTCTCGCTTCAAAGCTAGCCTGGGCAGCTTTGTTGTTTGTTGTTAGTTGCAAAGTCGTGTCCAACCCATTGCGACCCCATGGACAACGTTCCTCCAGGCCTTCCTGTCCTCTACCATCTCCCGGAGTCCATTTAAGTTTACACCGACTGCTTCAGTGACTCCATGCAAGTCACCTCATTCTCTGCCATCCCCTTTTTCTTCTTTTGCCCTCAGTCGTTCGCAGCATTAGGCTCTTCTCCAGGGAGTCCTTCCTTCTCATGAGGTGGCCAGAGTCTTTGAGTTTCCTCTTCAGGATCTGGCCTTCTAAAGAGCAGCCAGGGTTGATCTCCTCTTGGACTGACCGGTTGGATGGCCTTGTGGTCCAAGGGACTCGCAGGAGTCTCCTCCAGCACCAGAGTTCAAAGGCCTCAATTCTTTGGCACTCAGCCTTCCTTAGGGTCCAACTTTCACAGCCATACATTGCAACTGGGAAAACCAGAGCCTTGACTATACGCACTTTTGTTGGCAGGGTGATGTCTCTGCTTTTTAGTATGCTGTCTCTGGGCTGCTTACAACATTAAAAAGCAATACAACGGTACAAATTAATCATTTCTAAAAACAATAAAAATGTCCCGCCTTTATTTTTAATAAACAATTCAAGGTGGGAAAAATATTCGATACAACTTCTTCCTCCGATTTCCCCCACAACAACAACCCTGTGAGGCTAGCTAGGCTGAGAGAGAGAGAGAGAGAGAGTGATTGATCCAAAATCACCCAGTCGGCTTTCAAGATGGCAGAACTAGAACTCACAGCGTCCTGGTTTTTAGTCTGGTGCCTTTACCACTAGGCCAAACAGGCTCTCCCTATAAAACTGGATTTATTCAAAAGAGCTCCTAAAGGCTCCAATCAGTCAAGGTTTCTGTGAGAAAATTGGACATCCACTTTTCTGGAATGATCTGAAAACTCCTGTGCTAAGTTGGGGGTAAGACTAGAGGACCTCAAAGGTCCCTTCCAATCCCATGCTTCTGTTCTTCTAGAGCAGGCATGGACAACTTTATGACCTGTGGACTTAAATTCCCAGAATTCCTGAGCCAACATGGCTGACTTGGGAATTCTGGGAATTGAAGTCTACAAGTTGTAAAGTTGCCATAGTTACACACCCCTGTCCTAGAGAGTGTATGTTAAGAAGCCAAAAAAAAAGTCCACACAAGGCACGGTCACACTGTGTTTCCACGTCAACTTGAGATAAAATTGCTCATGGCCCAAACAGGGCTCACAAACATGCTTACAAGGGTGTTAATTGCTCTCCTTTCGGCTCTTTCCCCATCAAACCATTTTATGGAAAGAGGAGGAGGAGGAGACAGTCCCTCATCATACATACATGATTGCCTGAGAAACTCAAGAGTTCTTGTCAGAAAAACACACCATGTAGTAATTTTCACTCAGGAGAAGAAGAAGGAAAAGCAATTTGGCCTGTGTGTGCCCAGATTTATTTATCGATCTCAAATATTTACATTTGGCCTCTCGGGCCTCCAAGGTGGCTTGGCGATAAGTGAAAATGAATACATGATAAACATCCCATTGTTTTGACGGGAGATTAGCTGTGTCTTGAAAAAGGAGCATCCATAATGTAGATTAAGAGTAAATCTCTAGTCATGTTGGAGAGATAACGATGCAACGAATGGGGGCTTCACACACACATACACACACACACACACACACACACACCAGCTCTTCATGCTATAAAACATCCTCCGATCTTGGTTCCTTTGTTTTAGTTAAGAAAGTCGCACCTTTATCGTCAACTGCAAAATGTTTTTTTCTGGCTCTCCTGTGGGTCAGATGGGACTTGTGGCCTTGGTTCTCTGCTATCATTGTGAACTCCTTTCTCTGCGCTCTTCTTCCCGTCCTTGTTTGCACCCAGGATGTGCTAGAATGGAGAACCTCCCGTTCATTCTTCTACTGGAGAATACGGCGTCTTCTTCTAGAGGACTTGGTCAAGAAAAAGATCCACACGGCAAATCCTGAACTCACCGATGGCCAGATTCAGGCAATGCTGAGACGCTGGTTTGTGGAAGTCGAAGGCACAGTTAAGGTACAGCCCAATACCTATCTATCTCTCTGTCTGTCTATCTATCTATCTATCTATCTATCTATCTATCTATC